GGTTTTTAATTTTGAAGGTCTTTCAACGATTTATCGAACCGAATTACATATTATAAGTAAAAGGTCAGACGGGTCAAGTCATATAGGAGCTTAGGTTTGGTAAATGTCGCTAATTTCTTTGAGATCAACTCATATAATAGATGATTTACGAGACGATGATAAATTTATCATACATAAAAAAACTAAGTCAATTACATTTAAAATTAAAACCAAAAAACAAAATTATTTAAAATTATATATGTATTTTCAGACCGTGCATTGTGCGCGGGTTATTAACTAGCTAAAAATAAAGACTGTCTTCTCCTACTTATTCAAAAGGTTAACCATATCTTAACCAAAATTAATCAAACCAAAACAATAAAAAACAAAATGAAACCGGCTTCGGACAAGATTATATCCAACAATCACCCAATCTTGTCATCTTCACTTTTCTTCATTCGGATTATTATCTTCCATGATCAACAACATCTTGCTATTCCTTTTCAAATTTTTTTTCTCCCTTTCAAACTCTCCACGTAGAGTTTTAGATACAAATTTCCTTCATTCTCGAATTATCAAGGTTCAAAGTTCTCAAGATATGCCACGTTTCTTTTGGAGATACCTTTTCATCGACGCAAAATACCATCATGTCATTCCGAGGGTCTTACAAACCCTTTCAATTCCACCACGTTCCACACAACGTAGTTTGAACTCGAGGGTGACCCTTCCCTCATAACAGTATACTTCTTCCTTTCTTTGAGTATACTTATATTCTGTGTCTTCATCGGTAACAGAGATTCTGATCATCACTCTAAACCTTTCATTGGCTTCATACGAATCCGTCCATGGATCTCTTCTTCTTTTCAGAGCTTTTTCTGCTCCATCTTCTTTTTTCCGGAGTTTTTCCTACTCCATCTCTTTTCTCAGAGCTTTTCTTCCTCCATCTATTTTTCTGAAACTTTTCCTACTCTATCTCTTTCTGAAACTTTTCTTGAAAAAAACATTGGATCCTGCAACGACACTTCTCATTCTCTCATACGCACTACAACGACATTCCGCCGTTCTCCGCCGACGCTGCAACGACACTCCGTCGTTCTCCCCATACATCGATCAACAATGTTGTCACTAAGAGTCTATCACTCCCTGAATCACAATCGTACTTTGATGCCACATGTTGAAACCGAAACACCCGAAATAGTATTTCAAATAAAAGAAACAAAAACATGTCGTGAAGCTTTCAAAAGAGAACTTGATCTAATTTATCATATTTTTAATCTTTATATAGATACAAATATAATAACCAAGCTCTATAGAAATGGAAACATGTAGCCATTATCCGCTACCTAAAGAATAGTTCTTCTTGTAACTATTAAAAATAAAGACTAAGACTTCTACTACTTATTCAAAAGGTTAACCATACCTTAACCGAAATTAATCAAACCAAACAATAAAAAAAACAAAATAAAACCGGCTTCGGACAAGATTATATCCAACAACGAAGATAGCCGCCATGGGAGAAAATCCTCGGACAGCTCTCGCTCGCTCTCGCCCCCCGGAAATTAGAGAAGGCGAGAGTCGAATAGAGAGAGAGGAGATGCTGATGGAATGAAAAGACGATTTACAAATGATAAGTGAAGAAATATATAATGAACTTTATTACAAATAACGAACAAAATCATTCGGACAGCGATGTTATAGATTCTCCTTTCTTAAACTGACGTGTTTGTTCGTACGCGAAATATTTAATAATTCGCCTGAATTGAATTTTTTTTATATATATTTTTTCAGACATTTAGTGGAAACTAGTCAAATGTTCAAAACTATCAACAAGAACTGGGATTTACGTAAGTGTTTTTTTTTAATCCTATAGGTAAGTTTTTTCTTTTAATACAAAGCGGATGGGGATATCCGTTATGGAATGAGAAAAAAATATAAATATTCCAAGTATTATATATTCGGATCGATCTATGATATAAATGTAAAGATGTTCGATGCAAAATGTATAGATACATGAAAATTACAGAACAACCACTCAACCGACACATATATACACAACTCAACAAAACCAATTTAATAGTGAATGGATATATCGATACTGGAATTTGTCAAGTGAGCATATATATATATATATATATACGGTGATTATACAAGCCCTCATTTGTAATTCTTAAAAATTGCCCACACGATTTGGTTTTGTTTCCTTCCAAATGATTTCGTCATAAAACAATTGTGTATATGGACAAATTTACCTGGGCGCTTGCTTCGTGATTATCCATTGTCTCCCCCGACAAAGCAATATGAAAACATCGGGCGCGCCGCCGTCGGTTTATGGCCCATTTATTCTCTTACAAGTATGGGATCAGATCACGATCGACGTATCCTCAAAATAGCCTCCATATTAAACTTTATTTAAAAAAAAAACACAAACACCGAACAAAGCAAATACAAAGTTTACAAACTACATTCGAAACCAAAGAGAGCAGACATATATATATATATAATAGGAAGGGAAATATTCAGCGTTGCATGGACGTAGACGCACCTCCTCCTCGTTGGGAACCCCGAACCCTAATCTTCTTGTATAACGTCGCCGCCGCAGTCAAGAACTCAATCTTCTGAGCAGTCTGGAGAATTCCGACGATCTTGATCGCAGTTCTCATCCTCAGGGCGTCGGCGGCCGCCACCACCCCCTTCATCGCCGTCGCAATCCAATCCACATCCGCCTGCGCCGCCATGTTATATCCTCCCTTCTCTGCCGCCGTATGGCCCTCAACGCCTCCGCACTCCGCTGGATCTCGGCCAGCCGGTACTCGATTGTCGTCTCCGCCACTATGGTCTCCAGCTCGAGCATATCCATCTTATCCATCTGCTCCTCCGTCAAGTCTCCGATGGCATCCTTCACGATGCCTATCCCTATTCCCGGCTTGAAGCTGGCGACCCAGAGGAAACAGGTCTCGAGGCGGGAGAACCACGTGGGAGAGAAAAGGGCGAAACAGTGGTTTTCCCTGACGACGGCTTTGCGTTCGAAGTATCCCTTGTATTGGCGGATGACACGCGCGATGAGATCGTCACGGTCGCAGAGAAGGGAGGAGTTCGTCGTGGAATCCTTCTTTCCGGAGAATCCATTCTCCGACGAACTCCGCGAACTCAGACGACGCCATTGGAGAAACCCAAGCGGAGCGAGTGCTCTGGACAACCTCGGAAATTCGAATGGCACGGTACATTACATATAAAGGGTGACGTCAGGGGAAAAATTGGAAATCATACTTTCTTACGGTTGGACGAGAGGGGATAATGACGCGCCGCATGGGATAACGTAGTTTGATATGCAGTGTATAAAAACTCATGGTATTATGAGCAAATTCCCTAGTTTTGTTTTTCTTGCGGGGAACCAAGGGAAGTCAATGAATCCACAGAAATCGTGTAAGAAGAAACGGGACTAGTAGTCCGGTCAAAGGGGTTTTCCATAGTATTCCCCGAATATATATACATTCTGAAATCGACCGCACAAAGATAAGTCACGTGCCTTAACCAAATCACGTGCTTCTCTCTTTCTGGAAGCCATACCCAGTACCCGGTTCTGCTGCGTGTGCGTATGTATGTATATATACCTTAACCAAATCACGTGCTTCTCTCTTTCTGGAAACCATACCCAGTACCCGGTTCTGCTGCGTGTGCGTATGTATGTATACATTCTGAAATCGACCGCACAAAGATAAGTCACGGGCCTTAACCAAATCACGTGCTTCTCTCTTTCTGGAAACCATACCCAGTACCCGGTTCTGCTGCTGGGTATGGTTTCCAGAAACCGGTCGTTAGAAGAAACGACGCACAGTTCGGCCCATGTATGAATTGGTGTTTTGGGCTAAAGAGCCTTCTAGGGAGTAGAAAGAGAGAAACCTGGGTGCAATATCCACCGTCCGATTTAAACTCAAAACCCGGCAGCCCTAGGATCGATGCCCAAAACGCAACTCACGCACGCCCGCCGCCACAACGAACATTCCCCGTTCTGTATGCATAGAAAACCTAAAATCGCAAACCAGAGTGAGTTATCTTTGATTATTTGTTTTTTCTCCGTCGTGTTCCGTTATCTGCCGGTGAATTTAGTCATCTGGAGCTGGTTTAAAAAAAACGAGTAAGCATAATTTTTTTTGAAATAAATGCAAAGACAAAAATGGAAAAAGAAGTAATTATTTATTCGCCGGTTTAATATTCTATTTCATGGAAGCTTTAATGTGTTTGTCTATTGGATTTGGATATGTTATTCAAAATTGGAGGTTGTCTTGATACGGACGGTGACCTGTATATCCTTCTGGAGACATTTTTTTTTATCTCTTTATTTGATTATTTTTGTATTATACTATTTGTGTATGTAATTAATACTCCATCCGTTTTAAAATAATTATTGTTTTAGATTATTTCACATTTTTTTTAGATCATTAAATTATGTTTTTTTTTTGTTATCAATTCATTTTTATAATATTTCACTTTGAATCTCAAAATTTACTCATATTTTGTAATTATATACTTTAGTTTCGAGTTCTCTACGGACTACTATCAAAAGTCAAAACGGAAAAACAAGGGTTTGCGATAGAAATTACATTAATTTAATATTTATTAGAATATACATGAGATAAATGTAGAAATAGGCACGTGCCAATATTTATGAGCGTTCTATTTTAAAATACACATGTTTCCATTATTTGATTTCTTAAATTATATATTATATTTTCAAAATCACTCAAAAATTTTATACGATTGTATGGAAGAGTCAAATAAAGAACAAAAATCATATTGAATATTTTTTTTTTAAAATATATAGAAAACAAATAATGAGTAATCGAAAACACACGTGATAGTTTATAGTATTTTTAAAAAATATATACGGTTTGATACGAATAAAATAGTCGAATATACATTATAAAAGTACTAAATATTCCTATCTAAAGATCATGTAAAAAAACAAGTTATTGACATTAAAAGAATGTACATACAAACATACAAGTATGGTCTTTAAAAAAAAAAAAAACATACAAGTATGGTAAATTTACCATAGTACAAAGTGTTTTTCACTACCAAGATTCAAATCTTATCGGGCCAAATATTATAAAAAAAAAGTATGGTAAAATTATGGTGTTAAAACACTAATAACAACAACATCAATTTAAGTGATTATAACTATAACACAATTAATATAAATATAACATCAATGATGGTGTTGTGTCACCTCTCGTTCCTCGATCAAAACCGGTAACCCGCCCCGAACCGTGGCCGTGAGACCCGCTTCGAATATTGGGATCCATCCCGGATCCGCGACCCGGATCCGAAACCTCCTTATCAGTGCAATCGCAACGCACTTCATCTCCACCAAAGACATCTCTTTCCCCAAACAAACCCTAAGACCCGCCTGAAAAACCGGGTACTTAAACGGGTTCTCGGATGAGAATTTTCCATCTTTCAGCCATCTTTCGGGTCGGAATTCGTCGCAATCGGGTCCCCAGATCATATCCATTCGACCCATTGCGTAAGGATGGTAAGTTACCTTTGTGCCCTTCTTAACAAAAGTCCCGTCGGTCAAAACGTCGTCGTCTAATGAGAACTTTGAGTCGAATTGAACCGGTGGGTATAATCTCATGCTCTCGTGTAAAGCCGCGTGGAGGTAATGCATTTCTCGGGTTTGGTCATACGTGGCGGTTACCGGGTCCGGACCTGGACCCATGACCTGATCCAACTCGAGCCGGATGCTTGACTCGGCGGTTGGGTTCTGAGTCAACAACCAGAAGAAGCTGGTCAACGCCGAAGCCACGGTGTCACGCCCGGCGAGGATAAAGCTTATCACGATGTCTCTCAGGTACTTATCATCGTTGATTGCTCCCATGAACCGTGATAAGAGATCGTGCTTATCAGAGAACCCCTTTTCCCGGCGCTCGCTTATCAGCTCCTCCGCTAACCGGTTCACTAACTGAATCGATTCTCTCAGCTTTTTCTCGGAACCGATGTTCAATAACCGTTTGATCTTCCAAACCAACGGTACAGCCACTAACGCGCGTCCCGCGGACAAACGCGACGCGGCGTCAAACGCGGTTGCGAATTCGGAAACCGGTAAGGGTAACCGGAGACAACCTGGGTCCAAACCGAACGAAAATTTACAGATCGTGTCGAAGGTGAACCGGCGGAGAATGTCCTGGAGGTCCAAAACGCTGTCGCTTCGACCAGAGACCGAGGTTAAGAGCGGTAAGAGCCTCTGTCTGATCTCGAAGGTGACGACATCGAAGGCGAAGGATCTGGTGGAGGCACTACCGAGCTCGAGGGATGCGAGCTTCTTCTGGAATCTCCAAGAATCTCCGTCGACATTGAAGATTCCCCGTCCGAGGAGGTCTCCGAGGATGGCGGAGAAGGGTTTCCCTTTAGGGTAGTTGTCGAAGTTGGTCTTGAGGATGTGTTCGACGTTCATGGGATTTGCGGTGACGGTGTTGTTGATGACGTGTACATGGACGGTGGTGGTGGCGGAGCGGCGGAGGAGATCGGTGTACCAGTCGGAGAGGTTGTCGAAGCGGCGGCGCCACCGCCCGGAGACGAAGGTGTCGCAGATTTCGCACGTGCACCATAGATTCAGGCGAGAGATGCAGATGGAGAGGGAGAAGAGGGAGAAGATGAAGGTGAAGGAGAAGAAGACGCTGGAGAAGAACAGTGCTAAGTCCATTTTGTGAGAGAGAGAGAGAGAGGGAGAGAGAGAGGAGGAGAGATCGCGGGGTCTTTACAGTTATATAATATAATCATTGTATATGGGGGCAAAATGTGTGTGATGACGTGGTCTTGTCTATTGTGTATTTTATTATAACGTCAGTGCATGAATGAATTATAATAATGTTAGCCTTTGTTGAATTTTGGCGATTTCAAAGTCGTCCTACATAATATGGTTCATGAACTTGGGTATCATTTCACCAAAAATAAAAACTTAGGTATCATTTTCAATCCTTATTTTATTCTACAATTCTCTTTTAATAACACACTTGATTCAATTATACGTATATAGTATTTTTAGGTTAAAGAGCATGGATGAGCTACAATGTAGGCAATATATTATGGAACAATTCAAACGATTTCAGGAACAATTATTTCTTAGCGGAAAAGTCATTAATCTTCCTTCTTTATAGATTGAATTTTGTATACTAAAAAAATGAATTTGCAAAATATATCCTATCCAAAAAATTGGATTAATATTTTATATTATTAATTGTTTTGATTACGAGATATTGTGAGAAAGAAAAATATAAGTTTTCGTTTTACGTGACCATGTAAAATATCAGTTTATCAACTAAACCTCTCGGCATTGTAATAAGATTATAAAGAGAAAACATTGACAATGTCAAATAGGTAATAGTAGTAAGATAATATATGTTATATAAAACATAAACACGACTTTTAAAATACCGAATAAGAAACCAACGTCCCATACTAATCTATTCTTTTTCCAAAAAAATGAATCAGTATTTTGAGTCAAATTTGTAGTAATTCATGTACACATATCTTCATAAATGAAATCTAGGTATCCACCATCTATCTTTCTGATAGTGCCCAATATACCATGATTTTTATATGATTCATCCGGTATATTTACTCTGTTTTATGTCATTTAAGACGTTTAAGTGCGTGTTTAGCTTCAGTTTCGCTTTGGTTTAATCTTTGCATGTACTACTCAATAGAGCGGAAAAAAAAGCGAAAACCGAGAGATTTGTGGAACAGAAAAGAGAACCGATCGTTTCAAGGCATTGTGAAATAATCGTTTCGCCTCTCGGACGAAAACAGAAGGATTGATCAGAAGGGGGAACCGATCGGTTCATACTTGTCAAACCGATTGGTTCGATTTGCGGAAAACTGAAGACTTGCTCAGAAATAAGAACCGATCGGTTCGCTCTATGCGAAACGATCGATTCGCATACGGATTCTAGAAACTTTCCGATTTTGGCCAAAGTGAAAAAGAAATAAGAGGGAGAAAGCCTCTAGGCCGAATTCATTATGAATTTTAGCAGAAAATGCATCTAAGAGTAAAAGAAAAAGGGAGAGATTATCATGAAGCAAGAGATCGGAGCAGAAGACGGAGATCACGAAGCCGAGAAATCGACTAAGAGTTTCTTCCTTATTCTATTTTACGATGTTTTGTTGTATTGATATGATCTCTGCCGTCTTGATGTTTAGCGAGTAGTTCCTTTGCTGTAGGTTAGAGATTTGCTATGTAGGGATCTTTGGTTTTTAATTCCAGACTTTGTAGATTTATTTATTCCATTCAGTTTATTGAATTGTGCTTAATGCTTTTGATCTTGTTAGCCACTTGGTTGAATGAACTTAGGGTTTCAATTCGCATAGAGATATGAGATTTTAATCTGGAAATAATTCAATAAATAGAACAAGTATTGCATCGAGAGATGAATATTTGCCTAGGGATTATGATAGCGTTCGTTCATGTTGGTTGTAATGCTCTAGGATGATCCGTGATATGACATTTTGAATTTATATTGATTCATTTGTTTATGAATGCATATACCCTTCCCGTTATATGATTGACATGTTTGTTATATTTCGGTATCCTTAAATCATTAGAGAATGATTCTAAACTCCCTGGTCAGTTATCATTGTGGGAACAATGATCAATTAAGACTAGCATGAGGTGTGATCGATGCATTCGATGCATATCGATCACAATCATGGGTACTCGTTGTGAACGAGTGACTGGATGACCCGCATGAGATTGTCATATGGACAGAGTCATGACTTGAATCTCATACAACGGTTCGTTCTTAGATCCTCATACATGAGATGTCTAAAGTATCTGATATGAGGAGTGTCGTGTCTTGACTGCGTCAAACGTCGTCTTTAACCGGATGATTATAATGACGTTGATCAGATACGTTCAGAATCATATGGAGATAGAGACATGCAATATGTGACTTGTCACCTCCTTGATAGGAGAGATATCGCTGGGTCCTCTCGTGGAAGTCGGACTATGAAAAACGTGTGGCCACGCTATAGATGAAGTTGCATCTATTTTCTCAGTCATTTTGCCAAGACGAGAAAGCGGTTAAATTTGAAGGGTGGCTCAAACCATGCCCTTGTTCAACATATGATATCGTGAGACAAAGGATCAGAAATCGAGCCGTTAATGCCTTGGTTAGACCACCTCTAACTCAATTCTAAGTGGGTGGTCATGGCGTTTTCCTAGAGGCTAACCATGATTTGTGGTTCGGGAAAGGTTCCCGAAGTCACTACCACTTAGAATGGGCCTACAGGGTCACACACCATTAGGGATGGACTTATACATGAAGAATCCGAAGAATGGAAATGAGATTTGACCGAAACGAACATGAAAAAGGAGTTTTCAGTGTGTTGGTCCGGAGTTGACCAAGTTTGGTCAGCCCTTGACCAAGTTTGGTCAGTCTAGGAGGTCCGGAGGTCGGTCCAAGGTCATATGTCTAGGTCTGGTCCGGTTGACCAATAGTTGGCCAGCTCCGGACCAGACGCTGGGTCAGACGGACCGAGGACGTGCGAGCGTCGGACTGACCTGACGAACAAGAGACTTGGTCCAGAGCTGACCACACGTGGTTCGCCGGACCAAGCCTCCAGCTCAGGCGGTCCGAGAGCTTCGGACTAAGTTTGGTCCGCCAGACCAAGCTCTTGGTCCGGCGGACCGGGATCTGGAATTTTCCAAAATTTCGGATTTAGGGTTTTCTAAGCTTATTTAAGTTTGAGATTTCGTTCAAACTTAATTAAGGTCACCCTAAGACTAAGAGATACATCTAAGAACCCTAGAGAATTCGTTCTTTTCGTTTTTTGAGCTTCTCGGGATTAGATCCGATCTCTTGAGTTACCTTTTTTTTCACTAATCCTAGTAGATACGTTCCAAAGCGTTTGGAATCTTTTCCGTCAGTGTGGATACGTGTAGAGGGACTGTAACTTCAATCGTAGGTGATTAAGAACAACCCCCGGATCAAGATTTGCTTCAAGAAGAGGTAATATTCGATTCCTAAGGTGATATACACGGTTTTCGGGTTTTGCAAGTTTGGTTGCGTGTGACGTTTGACTAGGTTTAGATTTTCCTTCCACTGCATGAAACCTAGTAACCAAACCCTAGATCGATGAGATCGCATGCTAGGAACCTGTAGCGAACCCCAACAGTTCATGCATCCAAGGTTTTAGACTATTGAATCGATAGATTAGTAGGATAAAGCCTGGATAGTAAGGTTAGACTCGAGAGGGTTAATCTCTACTTTAAAGCTTGAATTCCCTGAATTGGATAGATAAACCACTGCGTTTGCATCTTTTGAAAGATCCTTCCATGTCAAGCAATCCCAAGACTGCAATGTTTATCATTCATAGTTTACAACCGATTTTCATTATTTGCTTTGATATGTTTCATCACACTGTCATATTTTCTCTTTTGGGGTATTACAACACCTTTGGACGCGACAATCATAGCCAAAGAAACTGTTGAAGACTTAGGGCTGAACATGGAAGTGGCCCTTAACCGGGAAGGATACACAAAACCTACAGAACAAGTTGAAATTGAAAAGGAGATAGGCAAAGACATTCTAAGTGAAGAACACACAATCACTGATGCTTTTGGTGAAACGTAGGATGAGACAGGAAAGGAACCTGAGACTCAATCCCATTCAGAAAGAGTGCCCACCCCTGTAAGTTCTGGTAACTCTGATAGTCTATTAATCGTTCTCCAGCAGAAAGCTAAGACGAAGAAGGCTACTAAGAAACGGAAAGCTACCTCAGCCTCAGTGACGGAGACCTCACAGGTCACTAAAGGAACCAAAGTACAGAAGACGACACAAACTGCTCATGGTGTAAGCTTTGGAGGAACATCCTAACCTCCCGCATCAACTACTGAACCAGATGATAAAAGTGTCAAACCCTTATCTGAAAAATTCTTGTCCTCTGAAACTAAGAAAAGGTTTGATAAATTCAAAGGAGTAGAAGTGATAGTTGAGAGAAATGTGAATGTGATGGATTTCCGAAAAAAATGGAGTCTGGAATTTGTTTGTAGAGCGACAACTTACTGGAACCTTGGCATATGCAAGATCTTTTATCAAAACACTTGTGCGTGAATTCTATGCTAATCTCACTCAAAGTACTGACATTTCTGGTGATCCCATGTATCACAAAGCATATGTACGAGGGAGGTTTGTTGAGTTTTCTCCCGGGATCATCAACAGACTGCTTGACACACCTGATAATCTAGATCAAGGGTTGGTAGCATTTCTTTTCGATGCAACACTTGAGGATATGGAAGTAGCTCTCACTAGTGAACATGTAGCAGAGCGAAATGGGAAATTTTGTATTTCAGACCTCAAGTTTAAAAGCCGTGTAATGCAGTTAGTTGGGAAAACTAATTGGTTGCCCACAGATGATCCGATGTGGTTCAAGATGAACTTGCCCGACTTATCTTTAAGCTCTTGCGAAAAGAAGAGGTCAATCTGGGGTGCATTATCTACAACCACATCCTTTCCCGAGCTGCTGATTTGAGAGTTCGTTTTTTTCTGCCTTAGCCATGCCTAATTCAGAGTTTGATTGTGTGGCAGAACCCTGAAATTATGGTTGACTCAGAAATTATAGAAGTGATTCAACGTCCTCTGACTATCGAAACTCGAATTCAACAAGCAAGGCTAAGTAAAGCTCAACTGAGCAGCAGGACTTTCA